AAATTAAAATAAATTCCTGACAATACTAATAAAAATAGAATAGAGAGAGGAGTGAATGTTTTTAAAGAGTCTCAACATAAGATTTTAGCAACCACAGGCAAAGTTAAGTTTGAAATCAAAATTTATTTTATTAGAGAATAATTGATTAAAATTTTAAATTGAAAAGACTCATTTACAGAAATATTGATGCAGTGTTTAGTAGTGTCAACTAGAGAAAAGCACCAAATCTTAATCCATGGAATTTAGAAGTTAAATTATTACTAGATAACATCCGCATAGATTGTTTACAATGTGAGTTATAGCAAATATTGAAGAAAATAGTATCCAGTTTTCAAAAGTACATTCAGGAATAGAAGCACTAGAAATAGACACTAACATTTGTTTTATGAAGTTAGCCTAAAACTGATTAAAAAATAACCTATTCTTATGAAAAACAAATTAGTGTGTTAGCACATTTATTAAGAAATATGTAAAATTCTCTGACCAAATAATGTACCATTTAATCCAAATCCAGTAGTTTCTAAGAAGCAATTATGAGAGAATTTGGTTTATCAAGAATATAAAGTTGAGAGCCAGGGATTTAGCTCAGCATGTAACTGCCCATCTGGAAAGTTCAAAGTTGTGAGTTTGATCCCAGGTGCGCAAATTTAAATATTTATTAAACAAATAATGCATTTTATTGTATTAGCACATTAGAAAAAAATATTGACAATTAGATGCTGGAGCATAAGGGAATCAATAATGATTCATAATTTAAGATTAAGAAAATTAATTTACAATAAAAGCTTCCTTATTCTGATAAATCTCATCCTCTATTCATATGTCAAATGTCAGAGAAAAGCACAAAAATTATTTCCTTTAAGATTATGAACATTAGCATCATGAACAAATATAAGTTTTACAAAATATTGCACAATAAAGACTGGTTAGTGTAGCAAATAGGTGAAACTACAGAACTGAAAAGCATTAAAATTACAAAGATAAAAAATCAAATTATTTATAGACGATAGTATATATTTTGAAGTATAACTACCCACAAATAAATGATTAGAATTAACAGTAATGAAATTTGATGCAACTCAATGAATAATAAACAAAGCTAGTTGTATAATTTTACAGCAAACACAATTAGAAAATGCAATTAAGGAGATAGTGCTTATTATCTATTATCTATCCAATTAGATATCTATTTGACCTAATAAGAGATATTCAAGCCTATTTTGAAATTCTTATAAATTTGTTTAATATTTTTACATAAAACTTATAAAAAGTTTGAGTGGACCATACTCATACATGGGAAAATAAGTATCAGCAAAGAATCTCATCTCTCTAAATGGGTTTATTGATGAAAAAAAGTCTAATAGATATTTCTAAATGTGGTGTTCAAGGAGGTTAGACAACGTTTTTCTGAAGTCTAACGTATTGTTTATATTCAAGAAGGAAAAAATGTGGCATATTATGGTGATAGAATCTTCCATCAGATATCAAGTGAACTTATAAAATAATGTTAGTATACCTAGTGAACTATGAGTGACATTTGAAGAAATTCTGAACTGAACTATAGTTCATACGGCAAAACATTATTTTGATTGTAAAATATTTTAATGGTCTTTCAGAAGCAAAATGGCCATGCATGAGGGTGTCAAACCCATATGAAAAATTTAAATTTACACAAAGATTAAATTGCTTAGCAAGAGCTTGTAGTCTATAAAAGGTTCAATAGTAAGTCCAACTTAAGAAATGAAAGAAGTATTTTTCATTTTCTGAAGATCGTTAGAAAGTTGATCATAAGGGAGAAAACAAAGACATAAATCTTAGTTTAGAAAATAAAAGCTGTTTTGAATATTTATAGCTTAAACAAAGATAAACTATTCTTAGATACCACTGAAATGATTAATCACAAATACATCTTTGAGCCATTCTTAATGTTTTGTGCTGAACATGATTTATGACAGCCTAAGGTACACTGATATTTTACAGCTCATGATAAAGATGAAAGTTCACATTTTATTCTCATATAAAATTAAGAGCAAGAATATCTTGAACACATGGGAAAAAATAGATGAATTCTGTGAGTGTGACAGACTGTCAAGCAGAGACAGCATTGACCTTATCCAAAACCATTTTTATATGGTCAATGTGTGCAACTGTACAGTTTACAAGTGTAACAATGACAAAGAAAAGTGCAAAACTTTCTGAAAAGCCTAAATGTACTTTAAAGTTTTCTTTCAATTATACTTTATTTTGCCAAAGTGAGCACAATCCAGGCTTCTTAAAGCATATGTTTATCAAGTACACTGAAACACAAAGAAGAGAATCCTTGACAAGAATATGCATTATCTTTTTATGCACTTAGGAGTTTTGTCTGATTGAATACTTTCTGGCAGAGTGAAATCTTTTTAAGAATCATGTCAAATGGTATGATTTTCAAAACAGTATGAGAAGAAAAAAATTTTGCTCCAAATAACCCATGTGTGTGTTTGTGACTGTGAATGTAAGCATGCAATGGAGTTGCTAAACTACAGTTCTGGATGAAACTATGGCTCATGGACCAATAGGATTGGCAGTTTGAATCAAAGTGAGGGGTTTTTTCCTGAGTCACCATGGCACTGGTCCAAAATGTTGAAGGAGCCAATAACAATGCCTTAACTGACTTCCTTTTTCATCTTTCCTCATCCCAAGACAAACTTTCTGCTCCTGGTCCTGTGCATACCAAAGTAATGTCATTCCCCATCTGGCTGCGGACTCCTTCCCTAATCAGACATGATAAAAGTTCTTGTGCTTCTTTGTTCCAACCTAGAGTGGTGATTTTGCCTCTTCTGCAGCCCTCTTGTGCCTGCAATAAAAGGCCTCTTTTCTCTCTCCTTTCTCCTTCCTCTACTGTGTCAATATATATATCTGCTAATCTATTAATGGACACAGATTTGATCTTTTTATTGCACTGGTTAAAATATGTCTAACTGAAATAAAAATACAACAATTAAAATACCTACTTTCTGTTTGTATAAATACATTTCAATCAGAACATCCATGCCTTTAGTGGCTACACTTGTGCTACCTGGGCACAGCTGAGTAGTTGTGACAGAAACTGTAGGACTCACTATATTTTGTCCTTTCAGAAAAGTTTGCCCACTCTGCCTCTAAAGTATTTACACAGTATTGTGTAATATAGCCCGGTTAGGAATAATTGGAACAATGAATACAATAGTGGGTACCATGAAAATCCAGTGGTAATAGGAAGGTAAAGATGGGAATGACAGCACAGAAATAAAGATAGCATTCCTGTCAATGATGTTCAGTGGGCAATGAAGTTAGTAATGATGAATGAGAAATCTTGAAAAGATAATTTTTAAGAAGATGATCTTTACATCTGAGGTGACTAATGTATTATTCTCTATATGCATGCTCATGAATGTACAAATTTTACTGTCTTTTTTTGTACCAGAAACCAGGGTCATTCTACCACTGAGCTTTATCTATACCTACATCTGTGTTTCTTACTTTAAGAGAGAGTCTCACTGAGTGGACTGGACATAGATCATTCCTCATTCATGATGATACAGGGATTAAAACATGCATCGTGTTTCTGACTTGCATTGCTATATTTAAAAGATGAACTTGATAACCACAAAATTTCTAGTGCTCCAGAAAAGACAATTTCCCTATAGAATCAAGATCCCCAAAGTGAGGTTTGTAAAAATTGCACATAATTGTATGAAAAGAACATCATCTGTTTCATTGCACTCTCTCCAACTTCCTGTCCCTGGGGCCGTGTACTGAGAGCTAGTCCTACCAACTACAGGGAACATGTATAAAAGGGCCCCTGAGAAAACCGACATTTCTAGAAACACAAAATATAGCTGCAAAAGCATTTTGGAGAAGAAAGAGATGCCATGGAGGGTGCAATGAGTTTCATTGCCTTCAGAGTCAGCAGAAGTGGTAAAGAAGAAGACTAGGATATAGCCTTGAGCCTTTCTGAGTTAGACTGAGTAGGGTTCAGATAACAAAAAAAATGTCAGTAAATTGATGTAGAACACAGGATTAGGCTGACAAATGCCTTTAAAAGACTTTAGGAAGCACAGGCCTAGAGCCTTATAAGGAGCTTTAAACACAAAGACTGAAGCTTTTCATCCTAAAGAAGAGGAAGTTGTGGTAAGAGTAGAGAAATGATCAGACTCAATGTGTATTGTGAGGTTAGTGCCAGAACAAATTTCCAAAGCCAATTCCAAAAGAATACTTTGTTTATTATACTAAGTAACCCTAGCCTTAACCGTAACCCTAACACTTTCTGATCTACAAAACAATAGATCTCACTTCATTCTTTTTCTCCCTTCTCAAAACATATTAGAATTACTTATGTATGACTCCCTTTGGCACCCTTATAAAAATGTGCTCTATCTGGTTATTAATTACTCATTCATTTCTGTAGGTTGAGCTTTGGCAAATGGTAGCAGAATACCTGAAATTCTTTATCCTTGTCTGTTTCTTTTTCAGTCATTAATGAGAATATCACTGAATTCCAGAGAGACTCATTGAAGGTAACTTAGAAGTCATATTCTGGAAAGTACGTGTCCCATTTCTAACAGTTTTGTATAGTTGTTTTCATTAAAAGTAAGAATATATACTCTGGGATATATTTTGAGATGTCATGTGGGATTTTACCTGGGAATGTAGAAGAAGAAACAGAAGAAGTTTTCTGACTTAGGATTCCTGGTAGAGAATGTGGGAGAAAATTCCAAGACACAAAACTCTGGTACTACATGGCAAAACAAGTGCATCTTTGTGAAGAAATATGAATTCCTTCCCAATTATGTCAGGGAATTTTTGAGCAAATTTCTTCCGACTCTTACTATTCAGTTTTTATTCTGCAATGTGGAGGGGGTTGATTTGATAACCCGTATATTTTTTTCTGATTATGTATTCTATTCTTTGGGCTTTACAGAAATTTCTAGAGTCTTGAAGTTATTTTTATTTTCTCTTGACCATTCATTCCTGGAATCATGGATCATGTAAATAACACCTGGACCCAGACTTTCATCCTTGTAGGTTTCACTATCTCTGAGATGCAAGGATCTCTTGCCTTCTTGGGGATCCTGTGTGTTTACCTCCTCACCCTTTCAGGAAACTTGTGTATCATTTTTCTGGTTAAGACAGATCCTGGACTCTCCACACCCATGTACTTCTTTATCAGTGTCCTGTCCTTCCTGGAGCTTTGGTACATCAGCACCACGGTGCCCACCCTGCTGCACACCTTACTCCATGGGAGTTCATCAATCTCTTCAGCCATGTGCTTCACACAGCTGTATGTTTTTCATTCTTTGGGCATGACTGAGTGCTACCTGTTGTGTGTGATGGCATTGGATCGCTACCTTGCCATCAGTCGCCCACTCCACTACCACGCCCTCATGAGTACACAGGTACAACAATGGTTAGCAGGGGCTACTTGGTTGGCTGGCTTTTCATCTGCACTTGTGCCAGCCACTCTCACTGCCACTCTGCCCTACTGCTCCAGACAGGTAGGCCATTATTTTTGTGACCTGGACCCTGTAATGCAGTTGGCCTGTGAGGATACAGGATTGCAAGCTCAGGTCTGTATTTTGGTGATTGCCTTTATCACAATTTGCAATCTTGTTATTATTTTAGGATTTTACGGGAGCATTTTGAAATCTGTACTGAAGCTGCCATCAGCTACCAGTCGTGCCAAGGCCTTCTCTACATGCTCCTCCCATATAACCGTAGTAATATTATTCTTTGGTTCTGTTTTTATTGTATATGTGGGGCCACCTGTGGTGCGTGCTGAGGGCAGAGACAAGCTTTTATCCTTGGTGTACACTTTTCTTACTCCTTTTCTCAACCCTATTATCTATACCCTTCGCAACAGGGAGGTCAAAGAGGCTGTTAAAAGGACCCCCAAAAGGATTAGGAGTATGCTCAGAAAACCTTGAAATTGTGTGTTATCACTGTCTCTCCAGTTGGTCATTGTAGGATTTAAGTCATTGTTAAAGAAAATAATATTACTAGTCAATCAATCTTATCATATGTGAAAAATGGACTGATGTCTAGATTAGGAGAAATTGAGTAAAATACAGGGAATGCAAGTGTCATACCTGAACCTTACTAATATGGGAAACAGAATACATAATTTAAGAAATAACACACAAAAATAGAATTATGTACAAATGTTTATGTAGACTGAAAACTTGGAGAGTGATGCACTGATATTTAAAGAATTTGGGGAAATAGCATGGACTATGGTGTTTTGATCAAGAAGAATTCTTGGAGAAAGATCAAGCAGGTAGTAAATGAGATACCTAAAGGGGAATTTCAAGGAACACTTGAATACATCTTGAAGTGTGGACCGATGGTCTATGAAGGAGGACTCTTATCCATGAAAAGTTGTGTTTCCAAGAAGAATCCTGCAGTAAAGGGACCTGTAGCTGAAGTAGAGAATTTACTAACAGACAAGAGCAAGAGATGAGAGTTGAAGATGCTTAGTGAACTGATTGCCTAAAATGAGCAATAGAAATTCGTTCTGTACTTCGAATTTGAAATAATCAGTCCACCATCATGGATGGAGTCCTTAGTGTGTAAAACTAATCTGGTAACCAAAACAAGATAGAAAAATTAGGCACATTTTCTGTTTTCAAGACACTTAATTATTCTTTTCCTCAACAATATAAATCTCTCCCTCATTTGCCTCTCTTTTTCTCCTCCTTCATCAAACAACAAGCAACACCTGAAACATATTGTCTAACACCAAGAAACAGACTTTTGAATTTTGCTGTGTGTATCTGTGTGGTAAGAGATCATGAAAAGTTGGAAAGAAGTAAAGATCAAGAAAAGCAGAAGTGTATCTCACAGAAACTGACTGGCATTTTCTCAAAGCTTCAGACATTACCTTGAGCCTAACTACTTCAGTAGTTTTCTGATACTTCCTTACAGTGTCTCTTCAAACCAGCCATGGAACTATGGATTCTCTCTCAGAAAACAGGACCACATTTCTACTACAAACAAAATGAAATTTTTTCTAGCCAGAAACTCTTGGGACAGTACTTTAAATTTTTTAAGTGCTAGAGGAATTGCATTTTGTGATTATTACTTTTTAGAAAGGTTTTGCAGTGTTTACTATTTGTGTGGTATTTGTTTCAGGTTAAGAGAGTGTGCTGAGTGCAGTCCATGCAGGGTAAAATGTATTATTTTGAGTCTCCTTCTTAATTTAATAATCCTGAAGAGAATCGTGAATACTTTAAAAAAAATTCAAGGTAATGAATGTGAAAATTTGTCCAATTTTAGGCTTTTAAATAATAATACAGTTTTAGGTAAAATTTCCCTGTCAGGCTAGGATCTGGACTACGTTCTTTTCTCAGACATTCTGTGTGCCCTAAGTCAAAGAACTAAATTTAATATTACTAAACTACAAAATATTAATCACATGGACATGGGTGAACATAACGTTAGGATTTAAACCTGTGTCTCTTTTCTTTTGCAAAACATAGCAATTTTTCCTCTGTGGTGAGAAAAAGTTAGTTTCTCCTTTCAGGGTGTACATCAAGCACAACTTTTGAAGGTTTATTTGGAGCAAACATAATTTACAGAGAGAAAAATTCCAACGAGAAGACACTGAATCACTGGACTTTTGATTTAAACTACATTGAACATGTCATTTGGCAAACAGCAACTGTCTTTCCAGAAGAGGAAGTTAAGCTAATTAGAAATAACTTGAGATTTTACCAATAAATTTAGAATTTGACTGGGCGTGGGGTAGCACCAAGGTCTCTAATACTTGTAGCATAATAAAAAGTAGTCTCTACTCTTTGTCTTATTTTAACAAGACAGAGACTTATGTCCATGAATTTCACACAGCAGAACCAGGGGAAAATCCAGGCTCCGTGAGTCACAGACTTCCTTGTGGGAACTGTGTTATCTATAGAGAACTGTTATCCCTGAGCCCAGTGTGGCCTGCCAGGGAATTTCCAAGGCTTGCCTGGTCACACCCTTTAACTCTATTTTCCAGAAGCAGGACTTGGTTCTATAATTCACAGCATCATCCCATGCTCCTTAGTTATTCTACAGTGCCAGGTACACAGATACCCATGATTACATAGACATACCATTTATACCTAAATATTATTTGCTTGGGATGAATTATAAAGTGAGTGTAGATGTCCACATTTATTTTTGTCCTGCTCTTGAGCCAGACTAGAATGTGGAAAACTCCCTGCTCTTTTCTGATCACAGCTGGAAGCCTTAAGTTTAAGGACTGTTGTATACTCACAGGGCAATATAAGACCTGCTGGAGACCATAGGCATCTGGAAAAAGCAGTTTCTTCATTACCCCTCTGTCTCATCTGGTCCTTATAAAAATGCTTTGATCTTCTCACTACCCCATTGTAGCCATCATTACTGTTACCATAAACACCCACTGCCCTTTATTCGTTGTCTTGAACTCAAATATAATGAATAAATACCAAAGTTGTGGGTAGGTGATGGTCTTTTATACCCTTAAGAACAACGGTTATCCTAGATCCCTGCCTATAGCCATATTTTGTGTCTTGCTTTGCTTCCATTTTACACCTTAATGCTTGCCAGGAGCTTGGGGACTCACTGCAAGAGTCCCTGATAACTGGCACTGTGAAAAGAGTCTCCAAAATTGTAAGTCTGTTTTCTAGTGAAATCTTCCATGGCAGAAAAATAGATAAATACCTTTTCAAAATCAGGTTGTAAAGAAAGTGAAATCAGTCCCAATTTTTTAACCAATTTGGAAAAAAAGAAAGAACATTATTTCTAAAAACCAGAGGGTCTGATGATGCTGACAGGGTTCTCACCCTCCCTAGAAACCCTGGCAGTTACAGAGGTTTTGAAATTTACGTGAATTTAAGATTCATCTCACTTCTGATCTTTCACATCGTGATATTTTACTTAAGTCAGGTGAGTAATAAAAATCCTTTTAATGATAATATATGTGAAGCAGAAAAGCCACCCTTGGAAAGATGACTTGTTATCTACAATTGTACATAAAGATCTAAAAAAAAAATGAATGACTCAATTCCTTAACTCAGTTCATTGCAAAATCTTTTTAAGCTTTTTTCAAACATAAGGACTTTGATTTGTTTCTCGATAAATATATTATTTGAACTTCTCTCATGTAATCTGTTTTGTTTTGTTTTGAAACAGGATCATGCTGTCTGGGTCAGGCTGGCCTTGAGTTTACTATGTAGATCAAACTGGCCTCAAACTCCCAATGATCCTCATACCTCAGAGTCCCAAGGGCTGGAATTACAGGTGTATGCCACCCATTCTGCCATCTCCTGTAAATCTTGATCTTAAGAAATTGCTTTTATTTTAATAAGAATGTGCATTCCAAATCCACTAACATATTTCCAGACCAAAGTCTAGTAATCTGTTATAACAAACAAAAATGAAAGGTACAGAGGAAAAATTTTTTAAAGATTAACAATGAGAACTTTTTATAACTTTTATAATTCTATGTCCAGTAACATTTATGATTATAGGAACTTCCAGGAAGTTCCAGTACAGTGTTGAGCATTAGAGAAAGAGCCTCTCTGAGGTTAAAAATGCAGACACTGGAATATAGCAATATGAAGAACACAAGATAGAGATAAGTGGGTCCTCAGGACTCAGGAAGTAGGAACTGAAGCCTGTGCAGTGAGGGTAGAGAAAGATTTCATTAAAGAAGGAGGTGGAATGTGACACTTTCTCCCTGAGGCTAGACTCACTGCACGATATGGTTGGCTTGAATCTATAGATGCAGGGAATCTACTGCTGATACTAGAGTCCACCACACAGAAACACACCATGCAACAGAGCAATGGATGCAGCAGACTGCAGTGACTCATGAGTTATTCAGGTTCCCACACTCCCCATGCCAGGAGAAAGGGACAACTGAGATCAAAACTCAGAACACATTCTGGCCCACTCTGCCTAGTGACTCCCAGTGACAATCTCAGGCTGCTGAGTTCAAGTTGGTGGGAAGTCAGAGACCTTAGTGTAAATCAGCAGGGACAAAACTTATATATTCATCTCAATAGATGCAGAGACTCTATTTGACAAAGTCAACATTCATTCATCATAAAAACCCTACACACAATTGGAACAACTAGTATTTATCTTAATCTATGATTTATCTTAATCATACTAAATGAACAAAAATTGAAAGCTTTAACGCTAAAATCAGGAACAACGAAAGGATTTCAGTCATCACTCTTACTCAACTTAGTGCTAGAAATGCTAGCAAAAGCAATTAGACAAGAGATGCAGACTCTACATAGACGATTCCAAAATCTACCAAAAGACTTCTAGATTTAATAAACAAATTCAGTTGTATATGTGGATAAAATGTCAGCATTCAAAAATTAATGGTTTTCCAGTACATGAATAGCAAACACACTGAGAATGAAAAAACACCCTTTACAATAGCATTCAGAAAAAAGGGGAGAGGAAGATATACCTAGGAGTCAATCTAACTGAAGAAGTAAAAAGACTTCTTTGAAAATTGCTGTTCTTTGAAACAGATTGAAAAGTATATCAGAAATGAAAATGATAATCCTTATTCTTGGGTAGGAAGAATCAACATCATGAAAATGGTGATACTGAGAAATTCCACCTCTGCCTGCCAGGTGCCACTGCTGGAAAGACATTTCCTCTGCATGCCCAGTTTGGGCAGAGAACCAGACAGATCTGCCTCTGTTTGATGGGTGCCACCACCAGAAGGCACTTTCGTCCATGTGTCCGGTGGGGGAGGAGCAGAGAGAATCAGTAGATCTGCTCTCTCTACTGGGCACTGCCACCAGAAGGCACTTTCCTCCATGCCCAGGGTGAGCAGAGAGAGCCAGAAGATCCACCTCTGCCTGCCGAGCACTGCCACAAGAAGCCCATTTCCTCAATTTGCCCACATGAACACAGAGATCAGTAAATACACCTCAGC